TTTGCATTCCTTTCTCTGTTACAGTTTTTTTGGTTTTTGGTTACCATGAGGTTTTTGTATAGCAGTCTGTGTATATGTATATGTGATTATTTTAAATTGTTGATCTCTTAATTTCAGATGCATTTTAATAGCACTACAATCATACGCTCCTTCCCTCATGATGACTCTTTGTGACATATATTTTAAATCTGTTTGTCTTGTCTATACCTTCTTTTTGTAGGCATAAATGATTTTACTCTTACTTCTGTCTTTTCTGGAGAAGGGAATGGCAACCCACTCCAGTATTCTTGTCTGGAGAATCCCACGGACAGAGGAGCCTGGCGGGCTACAGTCCATGCGATCACAGAGAGTCAGACAGGACTGAGCAACTAAGCACTTAATGGTTTCACTTTTTGTCTTTTATCCTTCCTACTAACTTTGTTCATGAATGATTTACTGTCTTTGCTCTATGTTTGCCTTTACCAGCGAGTTTTTTCCTTTTATAATTTTCATGTTTCTAGTTGTGTGGCCTTTTCTTTTCCAGTGAAAAGTTTCTTCTAACATTTGTCGTAAAGTTGGTTTGGTGGCACTGAACATTTTTAGGTTTTGCTAGTCTGTGAAATTTTTGATTTTCATCAGATCTGAACGAGAGCCATGTCAGGTGGAGTATTCCTGGTTGTAGCTTTTTCCCCCTCATCACTTTAAATACTGTCATGCTCCTCCCTTCTGGTCTGCGGAGTTTCTGCTGAAAAGTCAGCTGATATCCTTATGGGAGTTTCCTTCTAAGTAACTTGTTGCTTTTTGATATTCTTTGTTTTTGCCATTGTAATTACAATATGTCTTGGTGTGGTCCTCTTTGGGTTGATCCTATTTGGGACTCTGCTTCCTGGACTTGGGTGACTGTTTTCTTTCCCAGGTTAGGCAAGTCTTTAGCTTCTGTGTCTTCAGATGTATCCTCAGGCCCTCTCTCTCCTCCTTCTAAATTCTCTATAATATGAATGTTAGTGTGATTGTTACTGTCTCAGTGATCTCTTCAACCGCCCTCTTTCTCTTCTTCTTTTCCGTTCAGCGTCAGTGATCCCCACCACTCCGTCTTCCAGCTCATGGACCTGTCCATCTGTATCATTTTAGTCTGCCATTGATTCCTTCTAGTGTGTTTTTCATTTCAGTTATTGTATTCTTCACCTGTTTGGTGTTTCTTTATGTTTTCTAACTCTTTTTAAAGAAATTCTAATTTCTCACTCTTTTCATTCATTCTTATTCTCAGTTGTTTAGTCATCTTTATGACTTCCCTGCTGGCTCAGACGGTAAAGCGTCTGCCTCCAATGAGGGAGACCCAGGTTCGATCCCTGGGTCGGGAAGATCCTCTGGAGAAGGAAACGGCAACCCACTCCAGTACTCTCGCCTGGAAAAACCCCATGGATGGAGGAGCATGGTAGGCTACAGTCTATGGGGTCGCAGAGTCGGACATGACTGAGCAACGTAAGTCATCTTTATGATCATGACTTGGAACTCTGCCTTTGCTTAGCTCTAGGATTGTATCTTTTATCTGGGATGAAGTGTTTCTCTGTCACCTCATTTTATTTAACTTACTGTGTTTATTTCTCTGTATTGGGGAGGTTGGTAATGTTTCCTGACTTTGGAGAAGTGGCCTTTGGTAGGAGGTGTCTTCTGGTCCCAGCAGTACACCCCTCCGTCTTCACCGGAGCTGCATGCTCTAGGGGTACCCGTCTGTGTGGGCCTTTCTGCTATGGCAGGCTGACCGCTGTGGGCAGTTTGGAAGGTGTGGCTGGCCTCTTGGTCTGCTGGGTTGCCAGGCCCTGCCTTGTGCAGAGGCAGCTGACCACTGGTTGGCAGGTGGATCACGAGGCTGTGAAACCCTGCGAGGCTTGCCCAGGGGCTGGTGCTGGCTCATTGGAACCAGGAATTGGGTCCAGGAGATTCTGGAGCTGGTTCCTGCCCCCTGGTGGCTGAAGCCAGGTCCTGGGGTCTCGATTCAGGGCCCTGGGGTCCCAGAACTGGTGTCATACCCCTGGTGGGTATGGTCAATTCCTGATACAGCTGGCTACAGGGTCTGGGGTATTTTTTTTTTTTAAGCTGTGCTGGATCTTAGTTGCGGCATGAAGGATCTCAGTTGCGGCATGAAGGATCTTAGTTGCGGCATGCGAACTCTTAATTGCACCAAGCAGACTCTACTTCTCTGACCAGGGATTGAACCCAGGCCCCCTGTATTGGGAGTGTGGAGTCTTAGACACTGGACCACCTTGGAAGTCCTGGGTCAGGGGTGTCTTGAAATTGGGTTTATCTCCTGGTGGGTGGGGCTTGGGCCCAGCTGGTCCCGGGACTGGTACTGGCCTGCTGGGGGGCGGGCTGTGGTTGTCCTGAGGTGGGTGAAGCTGGTCCCCAGGCTGGAGCAGGCTCACTGGTGAGTGGACTGGGGCTCCGGAGAGTCTGGGGCTGATGTCTGCCCACTGGTGGACAGAGCCGGGTCCCAGGACGGTCAGATCTACTGTCACTGCACTGGGGCCTGGCCCTCTGGTGGGCAGGGCTGTGTCCAGGGGTGGCTCTGGGCTCGGGGGTCTTAAGGTGGCAGGTCTGCTGGTGTGTGGGGCTCTGTCCCCACCCCAGTTGTTCTGCCTGAGGTATCCCAGTTGCTGCTGCTGTTTAGTCACTAAGTTGTGTCCAACTCTTGCAATTCCATGGACTTGTAGCCTGCCAGGCTCTTCTGTCCATGGAATTCTCCAGGCAAGACTACTGGTGTGGGTTGCCATGCCCTCCTCCAGGGGATCCTCTCAACCCAGGGATTGAACCCACATCTCCTGCATTGGCAGGTGGATTCTTCACCACTACGACACCTGGGAAGCCCAAGGTCTCCCAATACTGGTACCTATAGGCTGATGAGCAGGGGCACAGTTCATCCTGAGGCTAAAGCTAGAGGGAGGGTTCCAGAATGGTGTTTGCCACTGGTCTACCATCAGTGTCCACGTGGTAGAGTGAGCTCCCAGAAACGGGCGGTCTCTATGTTCCCAGGTGAGCTCCAGTTGCCTCCCAGCTCTCGGGGAGACGCTCCACGATCAGCAGGTAGGTCTGTCCCAGGCTCTTTTCAAATTAATGCTTGCGCCCTGGAGCATGAGTTTCTGTGTGCACCCTTTAAGAGTGAAGTCTCTATTTCCTCCTGCCCTCTGGGACTCCCAAAGGTAAGCCCCACTGACCTTCAAAGCCAAATGTTCTGGAGGGTCATCTTCCTGGCACAAGACCCTTCAGTTTGGGGACGCTGATGTGAGGCTCAGACCCATTGTTCCTTGGGGAGAACCTCTCTGCAGTTTTAATTCTATCTGTGGGTCACTCACTCCCAAGTATGGGTCTTGACTGTATTGTGTTTTTGCACCACCACACGTCTGGTTATGCTTCTTTCTTTTTATCTTTAGTTGTAGAAAAGACTGTGAGGTCCTTTGGTCTCTTTGATCCACAGTAGGGTTGTGTGTGTGTGTGTTCCCTCTGTCGGTCTCTTTGATCCACAGTAGGGTTGTGAGTGTGTGTTCATGTGTTCAGTCTCTTTGATCCACAGTAGGGGTCTGTGTGTGTGTGTTCCCTCTGTTGGTCTCTTTGATCCACAGTAGGGTTGTGAGTGTGTGTTCATGTGTTCAGTCTCTTTGATCCACAGTAGGGCTATGTGTGTGTGTTCATGTGTTCAGTCTCTTTGATCCATAATACTTCTGTGTGTGTTGTGTGTGTGTGTACACATGCTCAGTCATGTCCCACTCTTTGTGACCCATGGGACTGTACCTCTAGGATCCTCTGTCCATGGAATTTCCCAGGCAAGAATAGTGGAGTAGATTGCCATTTCCTTCTCCAGGGGTTCTTCCCAATCCAGGGATCGAACCCACATCTCTTGTTTCTCCAGCATTGGCAGGCAGATTCTTTACCACTGTACCACCTGGGAAGCAAGTTGTAATTTTGGTATGCCTGTGAGATGAGGTGATTTTTTGGCTTCTGTAGTTTGTCCTCAGATGATTCTGATGTGTAGCCAAATTTGAAAACCAGAGATTTTGCCCCCAGTTATTAGTGACTTGGGCTGGGGTTGCCAGCACAGCAGGGATGGACATGTTCTTCATTTACACCATATTCTTCAACAGATATTTTTTGAGTGTATCATGTGCCAGATACTGTGTTAGGGACTCAGATCAAACTCATGCTGAAATGTAGCACTACTGTGGATCAGATAGTGTGGTAAAAAGGTAGAAACATGAAAGTGAAGTTTTCAGAGGTCAGACATGAATAGGACCTAACATCTGAACTGTATATTGTTAGGTTGAGAAAAACCTCCAAAGAGGCCAGTTTTAAATGTTTATTTTGATGATACTGTACCCATGTGGTGACTGTGGATGAATAGAAATTTCAAAAGCAGGTTTGGTAATGTATAATATTAAAATTTATTATATCAAAGAGGCATTATGGGCTGGAACTAGTCTCAAAAGATAAGAACAGTTTATGCATTTAACGTTTACTGAGCATGCTAGCTGCTAGAAACGTGACAAGGAGAAAAACATATGAATGAGAGTTTCTGCCCATAGGCTGCTTATACTCCAGTGGTTTGATGTGCAACACAGTGGCTTACACTGAGACGTGAGGAGAAAGGACGATCTCGGTGAAGACCACACAGCAGAACGTGCAAAGGCCCTGGGGCAGGAGCACCTGGCATCCACTTAGCTCACTGGAGTTGGGGAGGGGAAGAGGCCACTAAAGGATTTTTAAGAGCCATGGGAAGCATGGTCTAATTTACTCAAGTAGACTCTGAGGAATACGTTACTAGTGGGAGAGAGGTAGAAGTGAGATGACCATAAGGAGGGGAGGCAGTAACCAGGCATCAGATGCCCATCAGCAAGAACAGGTAAGAGCGGGCAAGGAGCAGAGACACCCCAGGGGCCTGGTGCTGAAGGTGTGTGGCTTTCACAGGCCAGTCTCCAGCTTTCACCCTGCTTGCAACTGTGCTCGATTCCTGGCTTAGGAAATGGTCCTTCTTAAGAAGACAAAGAAGAATCTGAAGTGGAACTTGACTGAAGCCCAGAGCACAGGGTTTGTTTTAAGTCCTGAAGTAGCTCAATCTCTTCCTTCAGCTGCCGTCGCCTGTCTTCAGATTCATGAATTTGATTCTCTACTGCTGTTAGAAGGAAGTTATTTCAGGTTATTCAGTAATTCTATACATAATGTACTATTTCTAGCTTCTTTAGAAAGTGCTTAGTACACAGCACTGCGCCCCAAATGAAAAGGATCCAGGGTCTTGTGAGCTTTCATGCCTTTGCTTCCTCTTGTAGTTCAGGATCGAATTCTAGTATGTATCACACTTAAGGTGGGTCCATAAATCTTTAAAATTTTGTATACAATTAGAAAAGGTAGCTTCTGTATATCTTTGAGGACTTGAAAGCAGTGACTGTATAACCTTCATGCTGCACACTATCCATTTATTGGGAGAGGCTGTGGTTAGACTACCAAGGGTAAGGCAAATCTTTCAGACAAACGCATCCTAGTTTTAATGTTACATAAAAGCTTCTGGCTTTATTTAGAAATAGGAGTGCTTTTATTGTGGCAACTTAGAAGCTACTTTAGTTAGGCTTTATGAATTTATAATATTACTCAACAGCAATGTCATTTTCTAAAAACCTGAAAATGGGAGAATATTAAAATATATACATACATAATCTTTTCTTAGAGTATCTGTATATCTGTAGTTAACTTTCTGGAACATTGGAAAGGCTGAATTAAGCACGAGAGTTATCACTTGGGAGTATCAGAAGTTAAATCTTCTAAGTTGGTTCTCATGCAATTCCAAATAGCATCTCCTCCTAACAGTGTCTCCTCCTGGTGCTCACACCCCACAAACAATACACTGGAATGTATTCCCAACTGACTCACCTAGGTACTGACATGTTCCAAACATGTCACTTTTATATGAAAGAAAAATACACACACATGAAAGTCAAAATACAGAATAAAGTGGGTGCTTTAAAAAAAAAAAGGTACTCCCATTAGAAGTATGCAGACACACTCAAGAGACTGGTAAAAAAAAAAACACAAACTATTGTTGGTAAATTAAAAACATTTTCCTGCCGATTATAAATGTAACACAAAATTCAAACAGAAATGTGTATTATGAAAACAAAAATGAGAAAGGCTTGTGCATACTGAGAGAAGAATATGAACTAATATTTTCTTTACAGGGAAAGTGTTTTCTTAATACATTTGCCAGAGAGACAAATACATCTCCGGAAAAGAACAGAGTGTAGGCCACGGTTTGCTTTCAACTTCAGGGGAAGCCCTCTGCCCCAAACCCTGTGTCCTCCGCTCCTGCCTGGGGTGTGCAGGGCACAGCCTGGCCAGCTGGGTGCGGCAGCCTTGGTGGAGGAGTCAGTAAGACCCATCAGTGTGGAAAATTAGCCTCTATCAAAGGCATCTGAAACAGTGGTAAAAGGACCACTGCTCAATGTTTTATAGAAAAATTATGTCTCTGTTTCCAGCAGGTTTTCTTTTTCAAAAATTTCTTGGCAGTTCTTTTTTGATGATGAACCTTAGAATCAATGACAACTTTCCCTCTCCCCCATTAGATCTGAAGATTAATGTCGGCAGAATTGAAATTTATGCACATCACACCAAGTGAGAGGGAGACAGTGGCATCGTGATTTATCACAGCCTCACCCATTCCTGCTGATGTTCAAACATGGTGCCCAAATACTTCAATTTTGCAGTCAATTTTTTTGTTGTTTCTACTTTTTTAAATGAGTTTTTTTCTGACTAGAAAAGTATTTTGTGTCTGTATTAAATGTGGAAAATACAATGAGCACTAAGACAAAAGAAGTTACTATAATCCAGCCACTTACAGATAACTGCTGTTTCCATCATGTGCAGTTTTTCTGTGTGCACGTGTGTCTCTATGTATATACGTGTTCGTTCTTCTGGGCGTGAGGGCTCATGTTTGTAATCGGCTTTTTAACTGAATGAAACTGAATTGAACATTCTTCTAAAATAGGACTTTCACCACCTGACTAGAGTTTATCATTTCAATATGGAAGTATTTATGAACTTTGCTGCTCAGTTATAACTCACATACCTGCTTGAAAGTTTACAAGCGTGTCTTCAAACAGTCTACAGTCAAAAAGTGAAGTCCCGATTTCTTCATAGTCTGGAGGGAGAAAAACATCTTCAGTTTTATATAGGCAGAAACACCTCACAAAGTTAACCCCTAATAGGGAGCAGCACACAGCGGGCACCCCCTGTAGCCTGCAGTAGCAGTAGCCTCCCCAGGGAACTTGCTGGAAATGCAAATTCCTAGCACCTTTACTGGATCAAAAAGGTTCCCGGCCCCTCCCGGGAAGGGGCCACTGTGTTAACAAGCCCCCCAGGTGGTCCTGAGGGGCATGCTCAAGTTCACATGTCCTTGATCCAGAGACAAGAATAAACAAACAAAAGAATGTAATGAGTGATCTTTGGCAAATGTTTGCTTAGAACTTCACTTTTTGATTTTGTCCTATAGAAAAAAAAAATCCCTTTCAAATAATCATATATTTTACATTGTTTCATAAAATACAGACTGTCAGGCTTTTCCTTTTAAGACTGCTATGCTGCTGATCTCCTGTGCCGTCAAAAATCCAGGCTAAACTTTATAGCCAGCCCCCGAGATATGCGGTTCCTCGATCTGTGGTTTTGCATCCACAGACTGGGTAGTATCTTATTGTGTAGTATTTACTGAAAAAAATCCAGGTATAAGTGTGCCTGTAAAGTACAAACCTGTTATTTAAGTTTCAGCTTTATTTATAATAAAGTTTTTAAACTAACACAGCTTATAAGAAGGGTACGTGACTATATACCTGCATATACAGATGGAACTTAAGCTGCCAAAAGAGCTCTTTCTGAGGAAAGGCATCTTTAAACCAAAATCAACAAAAATGTTAAAATTTCTTTCTTCTATGTTTTATAGTTTAAAAAAAAGGCAACTAGCTTTTTAATGAACAGAATCTGAGTCAAATCAAAACTAACTTAATGAATGCCATTCTCAGATCTTAGTAGTAAACATGCTCAGTTGTGGGGTGGGGGCAGGTGTGTGAGTGAATCTAGTTCCGAGCTCTTGCTGGTCACCCAATTATGAACCTCTGGGAAAAAAACATTAAAACTTCCAGGGCATCAGGCTATTTTTTTTTTCTTTTACTACATTAATGAGTTTGTGAATTACTTACATCCTGTTGACTTATAGAGAGAGATCTGGATCAATAAACTTTATTAAAGAATGAGATAAGGAAAAGAAAAAAGAAAGAGCATAGAAAGAAAATGTGTACTTTAGGGTGGTGTTTGTTTTGTTCACGATGTAGGTCTGTGAGACATCTCTACATGTAGAAATTTTATTTCAGTACCTGATTCTGCAGTGGTCTCATCCATGAGTCTTTCCTGAATCAAATGAAGTTTGTCTAATATTTCTTCAAATAAAGCATCAAGAAGCCCTGCTTCTTTACATTTCTTGAGAAAAGCAGCTTTCACAATTGCATCTAAGAATAAGAAAAGAATTTTAGAAGGACATGGTACGTCTCAGGGCAGCCATCCTACATACACTCACTTCTTCAGACTTTCCCTAATGGTGGATGAGCATTATTAGATATTATACATACACAGCACTTTTGGGCTTCCCTGGTAGCTCAACTGGTAAAGAATCCGCCTGCAATGTGAGAGACCTGGGTTCGATCCCTGGGTTGGGAAAATCCCCTGGAGGAGGGCATGGCAACTCACTCCAGTATTCTTGCCTGGAGAATCCCCATGGACAGAGGAGCCTGGCGGGCTACAGTCCATGGGGTCACAAAGAGACAGACACGACTGACTGCCTAAGCACAGCGACTTTATCTTTTCTATTAATTTCACCATACCTCTTTTTTTTTCCAAGCTGAAACAATGAAATGTTATAAAAAGGGAAAACAACTTCTCTGCTTAGAATAACGATGTAAATAGAATTTTCTAAAATTTAGCTTCAAATCTTTGAGATAATAGTCTCCCTCATTTTTTTTTCTGTCACAATTGACTTTATCATTATGGAACATCTATTTCCTTAACTGGACACTGGAGTGGGCAGCCTTTCCCTTCTCCAGGAGATCAAGAACTGTATCCTTTCCTAATACTGAAGAGCAGTGGACCATCCCACCCTGTTACCTTGATCTGTTGAGATTTTGATGGAGTGGATAGTCATGACAGAAGATTTCTACTCTCACAGTTCACTACTACAAGTCCAGAAGAATAAAGTGGGATACCAACTCTAAAATCCATGGTAATAAGTACTGTGAGTCATATTTGTCACTGACAAAACTTATAGCGAACCTGTGTGTCTGCTGCCCTTTTCCTTCTTCAGTGCCATTCTCTGAGGTGGCTAGGAGAGAAGAAACAAGATTACCTTACACTGATTTTTTACTGCTGACATTTAATACAGTAAGTCCTCTACATATGAACAAGTTCCAGTCTGAGAGCGCGTTCCTAAGTCCAGTTTGTTTGTGATTCCAACAGTTAGCCCAGGTGCCCAACTAACACAATCAGCTATGCAGTACTGTAATGGGTGTATAGTCCTTTTCACAAAAATAATACATAACACACCAGAAAACACCTCTAGTGTTACAGTACAGGACCTCGGAAAGTACAGCAGTACAGTGTAACAGCCGGCGCTGAGTGAGAGGCAGGAAGCGTTAGTGACAGGAGGTGGGAGAGGAGGTGGGAGCTGGTCTAGAGCTGAAGGGTCGGCAGCAGCAGGAGACGGAGGGCAAGCTGCAGCTCCACTCACGCCTGAGGCTGATGGCACAGGTTCTGGTTCCTTGCCGGATTCAATTCTATCTACCCTCTTGAAAAAGCGATCCAGTGTTGTCTGGATAGGAGCTCTCTTTTTCTCATCACAGGTGACGGGGCAGCACGGGACTGCGTTCTGAACGGCTGCGGCAGCCTTCGTGAGCTGTTCTATGTTCCGGTCCTGTGCTTGAAATAAAGATACTGCACTGCTGTGGTCTCTGCGGGACTGTAAGGTGCACAACGAACCGCCGCCTGTAGAGGGCGCACACAGGCGACTGCGCCAGGCAAGCAAACCAACCTATGTGACTGGACGTGCCAACACACGTTCGCATCTCTGAAAGGTTGCAACTTGAAAGTTCATATGTAGGGGACTTACTATATTGCATATAATGAAAAATTTTGTCAAATTCAGTGATATGCCTATGTTGAAAGTCATGTCTGTAGGCATAAACATCAAATGTATTTTTGTGTCTAACAAAACCTTAAGAGATGGAACAAGCCCCTCTTGTATAAAGGGTGAGGCGAAGGCTCCTGGCTCATATTAATTTAGCGTATATGAACTACTGCAAATTCCCAAAACATTTTCATATGCTTTACACATAATAGGAATCCAGAAAATTATGAGTCACGTATTAGGGCAAATATGGATCCTGTAGATGGGAAATACTTGGCTAGGTAAGGATGTTCCACTGTACCTGAGCCTGTTTTTAGACCATAAATACCACGTGGGCTCAGATCCTCTCACTGATTTGGTACCAGGGCACGTATTACAGGAGCCACAGGATGGTCACCTCCTGGAGGTTATGTGCTTGGATACCCAAGACACATCCAATTTCTCTTTCATATTCATCTTATCATCTATCATTGTGTCACCCAAAATTCAGAATGGTTTAAAAAAAAGACTGTATGGAGAAAATTAAAGCTGTAATAAAATGAAGTCAAATTACCTGTACATGATTGCCTGTTGAGAGACATTTCCTCTTTCCTCTTTTTCTTTTCACTCCTGAAAAGTGGGCTGAAAAACACAAATTATGTAGACACTGGAATTTGTAAAGGAAAAGACTAATGCTTGACTGCATAAAGTGCACAAAGTCAAACTTAGATGTGTCAGACCTAAGACTAAATGTTTCCAAAACATGACAAAAGGCCAAATTTTAAAATATAAAAAGACCGTATAAATCAATATGAAAAAGGCAGCTTAGGCAGAAAAATGGGCAAATAGGGAGCTCTGAAGAAGAGGGTTCATTAAACAGAAAAACAAATTAGGTCACAGGACAACAGATGTAACTGATCAAAAGATAGGGAAATATACTCAATTTCACCCAAAGTAAAGATACGCAGAGGAAAACAGAATTTTTCACTGGTCAGATTAAGATGAAGATGTTTAATATATAAAGTTTGCAAGGATTTGGGTCATTGTGTGTACTGCTGGTGTGGCCGCTAGGAGATAACTAGCCAACAGTTAACCCAGAGTTTCACTGTCCATACGCTTTGACTCAGCTATCTACTTAGAGGAAGTCGAATAGTACTGTTACATACAGGCACAAGGCTGAGTGTAGAACAATGTTAACTACAGTATTTAACGTGACAGAAAAAGCTGGAAACAACTGGTTCGGCTACACAGCTGAGGAAGATACACAGTGGAAGACTATGAAGCCTTTTTAAAAAAATGAGGTAAGATCTACTTACAGCCACTGACAGGGAAGAATCTCTTAAGATACGCTAAGTGAAAAAAGCGAAGTACAGTGGTAGATATGTTTGTATACACAGAACACTTTTGGAAGAATTAAAAAAAAAAAAGATGGCTTCATCTGGGGAAAGGGTTCATTACAAACGGTTTTACAATTTGCTTTTTGAAACATATTATGGTCATCTTTTCCTGTCAATAAACATTGATTGACAGCAATATTTTTTATGGTAAATCTGATACGTTGAAAGGCTGATAATGGCTGAAGAATGAGGGTAACTCTTTGGTTTAAAAAGCACTGTTTAACACTGCACAGTGCAGCTGGCAGGACAGCGAACTAAGCCTTTACCCAAGAGGGCTGACTCCCGTGCACAGAGAGCGTTCCAGATCAAGTGTTGGCAAGACGGCCGTCCCAACAGCACACAAAGGCTACGTAACTCTCGGCAGCCAGGACTCAACTGTCCTCAGAACAGAAATGCTAATCATGCATTCTTAGGAAAACTGCATTCAGGGAATATACAGCACTTTTGTCAGTTTTATCTACTGAAAATTGATAACTCATTTTAGAAGAGGAATAGTCGCAAAAGTCACAGCTTTTTACCATGTCTTGGTTTGGTCTGCTCACTGTAGTGAGAATGGAAGACCCCAGATAAAGGCTTCACCGATGGCAGACCTAGTCACAAAGAGAAATTCGGTCCATTATGTCTGCATACCGCACAGGGGCCAACAACTTAATTTTAAAAGTATTTAACATTTTAACTCATACCTAAATGTTTACCTTTTTTAAACCCACCAACACTGAATTTTAGATACTTACCATTTTCAGGGTCAGCATGTTGTTGGCAAAACACTCTGAAAACATGGAATTTTAGAAAGTCAGATATTTTGATTTATACTTTTCAAGTATTATGCCTATTGCTTTGTAACTTAAAAGGGAACTAACCTGTTTTTCATGAGGGCTTAACCCTAAATATTTATTTTAAAAACAAAATTGCTGGGCTTCCCTGGTGACTCGGTGGTAAAGAATCTGCCTGCCAATCCAGGAGACACAGGTTCAATTCCTGATCCGAGAAGATCCCACATGGCCTTGGAACAACTAAGCCTGTGTGTGCCACAACTATTAAGCCTGTGCCGTAGAGCCTGGGGGCCGCAGTTACTGAGCCCATGTGCCCCAACTGCTAAAGCCTGCTTGCCCTACAGCCAGTGCTCTGCAACAAGAGAAGCCAGCACAGTGAGGAGCCCCCGCTCGCCACAACTGGAGAAAAGCCCTTGTAGCAACGACGACACAGCACGGCAAAAAGAAATAAATAAAATTATTAAAACCAAAATTGCTGGGATTTCCCTGGGTGTCGAGTGGTTAGGACTCTGTGCTCCCAATGCAGGAGGTGAGGGTTTGATCCCTGGTCAGGAAATTTAGATTCTGCATGCTACACAGCATGGCCAAGAAAAAAAACCCCAAAACAAACAAAAAATTGCTGCTCAACCCTGTGTTCGGTATTGAAGCACATCAAGTGCAGATGGAGCCCATACCAGCATCCCCGGTGCCCTTGAACCATGTGGACGGTCAACGTGTTCTCTGCAGGGCTGAGTGCTCATGACATATTTTAAACACTATGTTTATTACATAGGGGTCAGTGGGATTTTACTGTATAAAGATCCCTAGCAATCCAATGGCTAAGACACCAATTTTTGTCTGACTATACAAAGTTCTGCTGCTTTTCCACAATAAGCACAAAATTGGACTTCCCTGGTGGTCCAGTGTTTAAGAACCCACCTGCCATTGCAGGGGACACGGGTTTAATTCCTGGTCCAGGAAGATCCCACGTGCCGCAGGACATCTAAGCCAGCGCGTCACAACTACTGACCCTGCGCTCCCCCAGCCCATGGGCTCCAACTGCTGAGCCCAGGCGCCCAGAGCCCACGTTCTGCAACAAGAGGAGTCACTTCGAGGAGAAGCCTGTGCACCGCAGTGAAGAGCGGCCCTGGCTCTCCACAAGCAGAGGAAAGCCTATGCGGCAGCAAAGACCAGGCATAGCCAAAAAAACAAGAAACTGCAACCGCAAATTGCACGCATTAATCTGCGGGGCAAGCAGTTTCCTAACTCCACAGGCGTTGCCCCCAGATCTTCCACTTGAGCTGCACAAGCCTGGAATTGATCGGCCACAGGAGAGAAGGAAGTGGTGTAGCTGTAGCAGGGGAGTGCTCTGAGTGAAGGAGCGGCCCTGGCCCCGTTTTTCTCTGCAGCCTCTGTTCCTCCTCAGCCCCCAGACCTCTGTCCTTGAGGTGCTGACCCCTGGAGGCAGGGTCCCCCGCGCTTAGAATGTATGGATTCTTCCTGTCTTATACCAGTGCCCGCCTCCTCCATACAGTTCTCTGAGCAAACCACCCCCCATCCCCAATCTATTAATGTCCTCATCCTTCGGATTCTGGTGTCTCTGAGCAGTTTTGTTTGCCAGGTATACTTAATGTTTTATGGAAAATTTCAAACAGAGAGAAGTGGAGGAGATGTGATGAACTCCCATGCCCCCACCCATTTTCAACAATTATCAACTGAAGGCCAAGCCAGCTTCATGTAAGTCCCCTCCTGCTCCCATCCTGCCACAGGCTGATAGTTCTGACCTTCTGGTCCTCCCATGAGGTGATGGGTTTAGTGCATGTCTTGTTCTTCTTTATATCACAACACCTAACAAGGGGTCTTGTGTGTGACGGGCACTCTGAATGTTTCGATTCAATGAAAAAAAAATTAATGAAAGTTCACCTGATACTTGATAATGTTAGTCGCTCAGTCGTGTCCGACTCTTTGCGACCCCATGAACCAGAGCCCGCCAGGCTCCTCTGTCCATGGAATTCTCCAGGCAAGAATACTGGAGCAGGTAGCCATTCCATTCTCCAGGGGATCTTCCCGACCCAGGGATTGAACCTGGGTCTCCTGCACTGCAGGTGATTCTTTACCATCTGAGCCACCAGGGAAGCCCAATACTTGATAAAAAACTATGACAAAAAAGGATTATTTTATGGAGTCTCTTCAGTGGTTCTAATATATGATCAGTATTTTTTCAGACTTTAAGCTATAGCAGAAACTTCTTTCTGTTTGACCTTGTAGCTCTGCTAATAATAGTCTTTCCCAGTGGGTGTTTCAGGTCTTTGGAGAAGTCATAATAAAACAAGCTCTTTGGGAAGGTAAGTAAAAAAAGTGAAATAGAATATTACAACCATGGGTTTCTCCGTAAATCAAATATAAAAAGAATATAAAATTAACATATTCATACATTTCCTGTCTAGTCTCAAGCAAAAAAATACCCATGGAACTTGTAAAATCAGATGTTAAATTATTTTATAAATTATTTTAAACTTCTTGGAATGTTAGTTTTGCCCACATTTTAGCATATGTGGCCCCTAAGCTTAAAGAGGATGTAGTGGCAAAGAGCAAAGACTCTGGAGCCTTTAGCCCAGCTCTGCCACTTAACAGAAGTGTGGCCTGGGTACAAATTACTGTCCCTCAGGGCCTCAGTTTCCTCATAATAGTATGGGAATAACAGTATCTACCTTACTGGGCTATTATATGAGTTTTAAATGAATTAACCTTTGCAAAGTACTGTGAAGTATTCCTGGCATAGAGTAAGTGGTTTTAATAAAGTAATAAAATAGTGTTGGAAGACTGAAAAAATTGGGGGGGGGGGTAGTCTACCCTCCGTATGGAATTTTAAAATATCATTTAGGAATGTAACAGATCTTATAAAAATTGTATTAAAAGTAACCCTCTGGGAGGGATAAATTAGGAGTTTGGGACTAGCATATATATACTAGTATATATGAAACAGATAACCAGCAAGGACCTACGGTATAGCACAGGGAACTCTGCTCAGTATTATGTAACAACCTGTAAGGGAAAAGAATCTGAGAAAGTCTGAGCTGAACCACCTTGCCGTATACCTGAAACTAACACAACACTGTAAATCAACTATACTCCAGTTATAAAATAATAATCCTCTCAACACTAATCCTATTATTCAGATACTATGACTGAAAAAAATGTATATATTTCACTGAACTTTCAAATGTCCAGGACTTCCTTGGTGGTCCAGTGATAAATTCACCTGCCAATGCAGGGGACACAGGCTCGATCCCTGGGCTGGGAAGAGTCCACATGCTGAGGGGCAGCTAAACCTGTGCGCCACAACTACTGAGCCTGTGCTCTAGAGCCCGCACACCCAGGGCTCGAGCTCTGCAACAAGAGGCCACCGCAAAGAGAAGCCCTCTCAGCGACTCGAGAGTGGCCCCCCATCGTCACAACGAGAGGAAGCCCGTGCACAGCAACGAAGACCCAGCAGAGCGAAAATACGTAAATAAAATGTCCGGTTCGATCAGAATCTATTCACATGCCCCAAAGAAGTGGCAAGTGTCTGCCTGGCGTGTCCACGCTAGACCATCAGTCTCTGTTTTACTCCATCTCATAACATTAAAAAGGTCAAAACTGTTAAGACCATTATATAACTTTCTTCACCTTTATATAACATATTCTAGACTGCATCTATGTATGAAAGAGTTCACTTAAAGTGACCCTGAATCAATTAACAACTGGCTTACTGATTTCCTCTGACTGAACTGTATAATGACTTAACTGACATCTTTCATCAGAAGGAAGATCAAATTTCTCCGGGTAAAACAAATACACTTGTAGTAGACTTGAAATATGCCTCACTGCGTAAAAATTAACATGATAGAATTATTGACAGGCAAGGAGCAGGATTTCAAAGTCAAGACAAGTTTTTCTTCAAGGACCTGATGACTGATAACTGTACTCGCTGCCTAGTTTATAATTTTCAGAGGCTATTTATAGTGAAGAGGGTGGTGACATTAGTGGGAAAATGCATTCATTTGGAGACAAGATGGGTATAGCGGGCACCTGACTGAGAAGTCAGGCTCCTTTCCTGTTTGCAGAAAAAAGGGAGTGTGAACTGGTTCCCACCTGTTAGGTCACTAGCGCCCCTATGACAAGCAGCATTTTCTACCAGGAAAGAAACCACGCAGGGAGAGTAAAACTCCAGACAAAACCAACCCTGCTTCTTTTCTTCCTATGACAATTGTTGTTGCTGTTTAGTCGCTAAGTTGTGTCCAACTCTTTGTGATTTCATGGACTGTAGCCCACCAGGCCCTCTTGTCCATGGGATTCTTTCTCTAGGCAAGAATACTGGAGTGGTCGCCATGCCCTCCTTCAGGGGATCTTTCTGACCCAGAGACTGAACCCACATTCACGCACTGGCAGGTGGGTTCTTTACCACTGAGTCACCTGGGAAACCAGGGATGGTCTTCTGAAGTCAGGTTCCTAACTGGGCATCTCCCAAACCACATTCCTACTTGGAAACAACTTGTATAAAACTAGCTTTAAACAATCTAACCATTTCATATTCCAATCCACCCCTCCTGCAAATGTGGCTTTAAAACAGTTTCATTAAATACTTATAAATTCCTTTATGTCCATCAGCTTGCAGAACTGCGTGGTCATTCTTGGCACAGAAAAAGTGGTAATTCTTGGAACAGGATTTTAAGTCACATCCCACGGTGGCTCCTTTTTTCCCACAATACGTGCATTTCTACAGAAGAGGAGATTTACTGAGTAAGCATCCGCTTTTTCAGAGTTTTTGTTAAAAATTAAAAGGCAAGAGGTCATCAAGTGCTATTTTTAAGCTGGCTTCCCTCATGTCCTCAGTTATAAACACTGGGTCCTGATATCTGCTGCTCGTTTTGGAATTTCAGCACAACCTCAAATGACTGGAATGTTTTGTAATGATCTGATTAAAAGCAGAAAACTCTTGTTTCCAACTCCTGTCCCCTCTCTTTAAGAGATTTCTAAAAAGCAGGGCTGGCAACACTGCCTGGCTCTAGGCGGAGGTTCTGGGGGTGACACTGAGCCTGTGGCCAAGGGCTGCTCCGGGGGTGCCCTGACAGCTGCGTGATCTCAAGCAGGCCCCTTCCCCTCTCCTAGACCTGCATTCTTCCCTGGGGATAACAGCACATGTCTTATAGACGCTTGACTGAGGAGACGTGAGACAAAGGAAGGGAAACCTCTTTGGCATCTATGCAGAAAGGCCAAAAATGTAAAAAAAAAACAAATATAAAAAGGCTTCTGAAGAGTAAGTTTTTCCCTTACTTCAGTTCATTTGATATCTTGCTTCTCTGTATTAGTCTATTGGCCTGATAGAAGGTGGGGTAGAGATGGCTAGGAGGACAGAAACCTAACTGTTTGGGGGAATCCGAGCCATGACCAAGGCTGGTTTATATCACACTCCGTCTGCATGAAGTGCAGGCTCAAGGTAACCACCTAGCAAAACAGGAGAAAGCTCACACAGTATCCCAAGAGCAGCACAAACAACTCTCTAAATAGACAAACTGCAAATATGGGAGAGCAGTTAGATTGTGCAGAAGGCAAGATGTGAAGTCAGAGCACAAAGAAGGATCATTTAATGTTGGGAGGCATCTAACTAGATGCATAGAAAAGAAGTAAGAGTAAGATCCCTACCTCACAATATATTTCCCAATAAATTTCACGTGGAATAAGGCTTTATATAAAAAATAGGTTATTTTTAAAAGCCTACAGAAATCTGGAAAATATGAGAAAGAAGAAAAAAGTATAGTCCTGAGGTGAGGAAGGCTGTCTAAGCAAGGCAGGAAACTCAGAAGCCACAAAGAAAAAGACTGATCTGACTACAGAAGAAAATGTAAGCTCCACCTTTAAGGTGATAAGATACCATAAAAAGAAAAAAGGAAGACGGTTTGCTGCATAGCTGATAAAGGGTTAAGACTCTACTAACCCACAGAAAAACGGGAAGAGGCAAATCACACCAGAAATACAAACAGCTAATAAACATCAAATTAGAAGATGCTTGCTCCTTCGAAGGAAAGCTATGACTAACCTAGACAGCATATTAAAAAGCAGAGACATCACTTTGCCGACAAAGGTCCATATAGTCAAACCATGGTCTTTCCAGTGGTCACGTATGGATGTGACAGTTGGACCATATAGAAGGCTGAGTGCCGAAGAACTGATGATTCTGAACTGTGGTGTTGGAGAACACTCTCGAGAGTCCCTTGGACTGCAAGGAGATCCAACCAGTCCATCCTAAAGGAGATCAACCCTGAATATTCATTGGAAGGACTGATGCTGAAGCTCCAATACTTTGGCCACCTGATGCGAAGAGCTGACTCATTCGGAAAAGACCCTGGTGCTGGGAAAGATTGAGGGCAGGAGGAGAAGGTGAGGACAGAGGATGAGATGGTTGGATGGCATCATCAACTTAATGGACATGAATCTGAGCAAACTCCAGGAGACAGTGGAGGACAGAGGAGCCTGGTGTGCAATTCATGGGGTCACAGAGTCAGACATGCCTTAGCAACTGAACAACAACAAACACTGACTCACTGAAGGACCACAGAGTAGCTGTTGACCTGGCAGACTCTCTTCTAGGACGGGGGACCGCAGTGGACAAGGTCCCTGCCATTATGAGGTAAACTCTGTGGTGGAGACGGACAATGATCAAATAAAGCCAACTTTAAGACAATGACATATGCTTTGCAGAGAATTAAGGCCAAGTGACAGAGTGTCTCTGGTTCCCAGTTCAGACTGGGTGGTCAGTGATAACACAAGGCCTCCCTAAGGGGGCGACAGAGAAGCTTAGATTTTAATAAGGGCGCCCAGTCTACATCAAAGCAGAGGTAAGGACATCGTCAGCAGAAGGCCTTATGTTCTTGAGACAGGAATGAGCTTCTGTACTGGTCAGCTTACAAGAAGGACAAGAGGGACAGGTAGTTTTGCTGGAAGCAAGGGGAGGCAAGGGGGAGAGTCTGAGCTAAGATCCAGGGGGCTTGGACATACGGGCCTTATGAACCACAGTGATGAGCTGGGGATTTATCTTTGTGGAAGGGGAATATAAACTGATGCATAAAGATACTGCCTGGCAGCTGTGTGGAGAATGGGCTGGGAAGGGTGGGTGGGAGAGAAAAGCAGGACAGGTATCCAGTGTTCAGCAACCGTCCATGAGAGCGGGGTCAGACCCCACCCTGGTGGATGGGTGGTGGTGAGAGGGAAGAAGAGGGTGCAAGGTCTATAGCGTGACGCTGATGGGCTTGATGCTGGGCTGGGGCTGCGGAGCAGATGATGGCAGACAGGCGATGTGCTGTTTGCAGAGAAGAAGCGGACAGGTGTGGATGGACCTTGTGCAGGTATGTGCAGGGGATGGAACTATTTTTTTCTGGGCCAGTTTTAACAGGAGATGCGATTAGAAATCCAGGTAAGTATGTCAGGCTGGTCTTCAGGGCTGGAGATAAAAGAGTCCAGGGATAAGAGTGGCCCTGAAGCCACGGGAACTGGATGAGGTCATGGAGGAAGGATGTTCAGATTTATGAAGGAGCCCAGGACAGGGCCTCGGGCACTCCCAACCACAGAGGGTGAGCAGAGGAGAAACAGCCCAGGCCCTTGGGAAGAAGCAGCCCGAAAGGTAAGAGACATCCCGGCAGAGTGGGTCTGGGACGTGAGAAGGAAGTGCTGCAAGATGCAGGGCAGGGACCACTGTGTGAGGGTCCTGCCGGAAGGTCACCTAAGTCAGACAAGTGACCCTGCAACTGACCAGCTTTTGGTGTATGAGGGAGGATATTTTTTTAAAAGATGACATGATCAGTTGATCATGTTTATATGCCGATGGGAATTATCAAGTAGAAAGAGGGGATACTGATATGAAGGGGCAGGGGAGGAAAATTCAAGAGCCTGGTCCTTGGGGAGGGGGCGGGGAGCAGCGGCTCCAAAGCCCAGGTGCAAGGTTAGCTGTGACAGGCTGGAGGTCTGGGGACAGGCGGGTGGAGTATTCAGGAGGAGTTCCAGTCTAATCGCTTCCACCTTCTTGGTAAGAATCAGGCAAAGCAACGTACACCACCAGGAGGGAACCCTAACTTTAGAGATGGCCTCTGGGTGTTTCTGATGTGTCAGTGTTGTTCGTCAGTCGTTAACAAATGTCCCTTCTCGAGGGGGGCGGTGTTGATAAAGGGTGGGGGGGATATGGGAACCCTCTGTACTGTCCCCTCAGGTTTTTTTGTGAACCTAAAACTGCTCTAAAAAATAAAGTCTCATCAAAAAGAAAAACAGAACCAGGACTTCCCTGGTGGTCAAGACTCCAAGCTCCCAGTGCAGGGGGCCCTAGTTTGATCTCTGGCCAGGAAACTAGATCCCACATGCTCTAACAGTTCGCATGGTGCAACTAAGACCCAGTGCAGCCAAATAAATAAATAAGTAATAAGTATAAAAAAAAAAACACACCAAAACCAACAGGCAGAGTCATCATCTTGGGAATGAGAAGTTGGGGTGGGGCAAGACTTCAAAGACAGATGAGAGGACATGAACCAGTTTGTGTGGAGGGTGAATTGCTGACGGTCTGTTTGAGATTTACGGCTGTGAATCTGAGATCAGTGAGAACATCTGTGGGTTTTCTCGGGATAACGGCTCAGCTGCCAGTGCTACTGAGCTCCTGCAGACACCATACAGACGTGCTTGCCCAGGGAGGGGGTCTGCTCTGTGAGCACAGAGGGCGTCCGGGGGTGGGGAGGGCTGCAGGGGGGTGACGGCTGCACTGGACCACGGCCAGAGACCACTGAAGAGCCGCTGCAGCTGGGCGCGCCGGAGGCCAGGATGGTGACTAGGGAGGGGAGGTGGGCAGCCTCTCCAGGGGTCAGGGAAACGCAATGGAGAACTTGGTGAGCCTGGCAAAAATCAACAAGGTCTGTGATTCTCATTTTTGTCTAGGGCTGGGAGAAGCGCTCTTTCATCCACTGAGAACAGATGTATAAAGTGGTACAGTCTTCCTGGGGGTCATTTTGTCAGCACGTTTCAAAGATTTTAAAGGAATTTCTAGGACTGTGCCGTACAGTACCCCGCACACCAGCACGTAAGGGTAATGCACAAAGACGTTTACTGCGGCTTTGCTGTTCCAGTGAAAACCAGAGTCAACTCACTATCTAAGGGCAAGGGAATGGCCTCACACCTTCTATTACATCCTATATAATTCCGTGAGGTCAGTAAAGAGAATGCCAGGGAGTCCTATGCTTGTGGTTCTATGGACACACTACATCTTCTTTCCGGCCTTCCATAGCTTTTGCACACCCTGTTCCCTCTCTCTGGAGTTCCCCGTCTTCATTTTCACCCCCACCCCCAGCGCAGAAGGCTTCCTGAGCCCCAGCTGTGCTGAGCTGCCCGCTCACTGAGCGCCCAGAGCAGGCACATCTCAGAGAGCAGCGGGTGCTGCGGACGCTGCCCCCATCTATGCTGACACTGCACGAGGACTAAAACAGTGTTTGCTCTGGATCACTAACCTGACTGTGGGCAGTGGTGGTGCTGAGCGTGTCAGCGCTGACACTGCTGTCCTGCTGACTAAGCTGTGGAGGGTGCTGTCAGTGGGGGAGTCTCCTGTAGCAGCCCTGGAGGGTAACTACCCAGGGTGCTTCCTTCCCAGGGAGCTGGCCCAGCTCCAAGGGTAGCTCCTGATTACGTACGGTCACCTCTAGGAACTGGTGCAGAAAGAGAAGTGTGGCCTAACTCAGCTTTCAGGAGGAAGAACTTTTTATAGACAGGAAGACGAAAGCCTGATGCTTCAGCAGCTGCCTGTGGCCACCCTAGGATCACAAAGGAACCAGCTGATGCTGTGGACAGCAGGGTGGAAAGGATGATGGGCTCTTGATGACATCATTGAGCCCCTGAATCAACCAACTCTGAAGCCAGTTTTTCCTCTGGCTAAGTGAGAAAATGAGCATTCTTTTTTTTTTTTAAAGCCAGTCTCAACTGGAGTTCCTTCTACTTTTAGCCAAAGCATTCTGATTCATTATCTATTGATACTTTAATGATGAAACACATTGTACCTTATTTAAAAATATTAATATATTCAACTGAATCTAATTTTCCAGTACAGGTCCTACTTCTTTCAGCTCTCCAAGATACATCTCTATTCCTGGTTTATTAATCAAATAGACTTTCTTTTGAAGGCATCCCCAAGGGTCTGTTCAACTTTGTAAGAAAATCATTCATACTTACCAACTTCCTTCCTCTCTTGATTTCTTTCTTTACTGATTCCACATCAAAATTTCTATCATTATTACATGAATCATGGTCCTCACATTCCACAAGTGCCGAGGAATACAGCTGCAGATTGGGAAAAGAAAAACAATCCAGATTATATACAAAGAAATGTTGAGAGCTACAAGTCAGAAAATGGTACCAAAAAAGTATTCATCAGGAATGGAAGATGACAACCTTTTGGGGTGTGTGAGCAGACCTCAAGCCACCCAGCTTTCCTTCGGGAATAGTCCTGATCCCCGGGCATGTTTCACACTGCCTAACCCTGACCCTCAGTGGCTTGGTCGAGGCCCAGATCCCAAGCTGGGCCAATCAAAGTTCCTATTCTAGGAAAGTTAAATAGGCTCTGAGGCACACGGTCAGAGAAGAGAAAGTCAGTCTACAGAGAGAGGGAAAACAAAAAATGAGGGCTACACGGGACATGCAAGGCTCCTAAGGGCTTCTCAGCTCCTGTTTCTTGGCCCCGCCTCTGGACCTGCCTTCAGGAGCCACAGAATGGCCCTGCAACTCATTACAAAGCCTCCTGTGTATTCAGGTTGGCTTGAGTTTCTAAGAGCTTCTTGAGACCAAAAGAATCCAAACTACTTCCTAATGAAAGACCAGCATTACAGTATACTTAAACTATAAAGGGCATGAAAAACATAAGAGAAAAAAATTCTGACCTTGACATAGGCAAAGATTTCTAATAAAAGCAAAAACTATAAAAAAGTTCTCAAGTTGGTTGGGACTTCCCTGGTGGTCCAGTGGTTAAGAATCTGCTTTCCAACGCAGAGGACATGAGTTCAATCCATGGTCAGGGAACTAAGATACCACATGCCATGGAGCAACTAAGCCCGTGCGTTGCAAAAAAAAGACTCCACATGTTGTAACCAAGACTCAACACAGCCAAATAAATAGATAAATATTTTAAAAAGCTATCAAGTTGGAATTCATCAAAATTAAAAGTTTTTGTTCTTTGAAAGACATCGCTAAGAAAACAGAAAGGCAACCCAGAAATTGGGAGAAAATATTTGCAATTCATATACCTGACAAAAAACTTATATCGAGAATAGAGGAAAAATTGTTGCCACTCAATAAGACAATACAATTAAAAATGGGCAAAAAATCTGGACAGACACTTCAGAGAAGAGTTACAAATGGAAAGATGCTCAAAATCGGTAACCCACAGACACAGCCACAATGAGATACCAATACACACTCACCAGATTGGTTAGAATTAAAAAGACTGAAAAGTAACCAAGTGTCAATGCAGGTACGGAGCAAAGGAAATGCTTACACATTGTTGGTAGAAGTGTAAAATAATGCAGTCACTTTTAAAGTTAAACATACACTTACTTTATGACCCAGCATTCCTCTTCTAGGTATTCACCCAAGAAATAAAAGCATATGTCCACATTTAAAGAAGGCAAGAATATACAATGGAGAAAAGATAGTCTCTTCAATAAGAAGTGATGGGAAAATTGGACAGCAACATGTTAAAAAATGAAATTTGAACATCTTCTCATCATACACAAAAATAAATTCAAAATGGATTAAAGACCTAAGTGTAAGATGGGGCACCATAAACTCCTAGAAGAATACACAGGCAGGACACTCTTTGACAAAAAGCAATATTCTTTTTTATCTCCAAATGCAAGGAAAATATAAGGAAAAATAAACAAATGGGACCTAGGTAAGCTTAAAAGCTTTTGCATCAACAAACCATCAATAAGACAGAAAGACAACCTATTAACCTATTGAGTGGGAGAAAATATTTGCATACGATATGACCAGTAAGGGGTTAATATACAAACAGCTCATAAAACTGAAGATCAAAAAACAACCTGATTAAAAGATGGGCAGAAGATCTGAATGGACATTTTTCCAAAGAAGACATGCAGATGGCCAAAGGCACATGAAAAGATGCTCAGTATCACTGATCATCAGAGAAGGGCAAATGAAAACCTGGAAGAGATATCATTCACACCTGTCAGGATGGCTGTCATCAAGAAGACTGCACACAAATGTTGGTGAGGATGTTGAGAAAAGGGAACCCTATACACAGATAGTGGGAATGTAAGTTGGTGCAGCTGCTATGGAAAACAATATGGAGGTTCCTAAAAAAAAACTAAAAATAGAACTATCATATGATCCAGCAATTCCACTCCTGGGTATGCATCCAAAGAAAATAAAAACACTAATTCAAAAAGATATATGTACCATAAAGTTCATAGCAGTATTATTTACAATAGCCAAAGTATGGAAGCAAACTAAGTGTCCATCAACAGATGAATGGATAATAAAGATGTGCAGTGTGTGATTCTTTGTGACCCCATGGACTGTAGCCCGCCAGGCTTCTCTGTCCATGGAATTCTCCAAGCAAGAATACTGGAGTGGGTAGCCACTTCAGAAGATCCCTTCTCCAGGGGATCTTCCAGATCCATGGATCAAACTCGAGTCTCTCACACTGCAGGCAGATTCTTTACCATCTGAGCCACCAGGGATGCTCATATCTATATCTATATCTACACACACACACACACACACACACACATATGAATGTGTATATTTATTGTGTATACACACACACACAAACACAATGGAATACTAATCAGTCATAAAAAAGAATGAAATTTTGCCATTTGCAACAACATGGATGGATGTAGAGGGTATTATGCTTAGTGAAATAAGTGAAAGACAGACAGTACATGTCATCACTTATATGTGGAATCTAAAAAAAAAATAAACTAGTGATATAATACACAAAAAGCATGTCTACATATTCAGATGCTCACAGCAGAGTTATCTTAAAATTCCCAGGTGGCACTGGTGGTAAAGGACCCACGTGCTAATGAAGGAGTCACAAGAGAAGCAGGTACCATCCCTGGGTTGGGAAGACCCCCTGAGGAGGGCATGGCAACCCACTCCAGTATTCTTGCCTGGAGAATCCCATGGACAGAGGAGCCTGGTGTCTACTGTCCATAGGGTTGCAAAGAGACAGACACAATTGAAGTGACTTAGCACAGCACATAGCATAGCCCCACAATGAAAATAATACATATGTCTATCAACAGAGAAATGAATAAACAAATTATGATAGATCCATACAATGGAATACTATGCAGAAATAAAAAGGAACAAAATACAGATACGAGAAACACCATGGAAGAATCTCCAAAGACTGTTAATGAGCAAAAGATGCCAGACACAAAGCATACATATTGCTTCCCTTCATACAAGATGAGAAAGACAGGCTCAACCTAGAGGTGCTGGGGTTAGGGGGGAAGTGGTTACAAGGAGGCATGGGAGAACCTTCTGGGGTAACAGAAATGTTCTACATCTTGATGGTGGCAGCAGTTACATTGGCAAATACATGAATTAATACTCTGAACTGTACACTTAAAATGAGTGCTTTTTAATGTAAATTATACCAACAAAGTTAACTAAAAAAGAAAATTAACATCAAGAGTATATTAGGATAAACATCACAATCAAATAGTGTTATTCTCAGAATGGGTTAACAGCAGAAAATAAACAAGCACATATCTTATAGTAACAAATTAAAAGGAGAAAACTTGAGACATGAAAACCAAACATATCAGAATCTTCTGCTATAAAGAAAGTTATTAGGACACTTGAACCTGAAACCTGAGTGGTCTGAGGGTCAGGTGATAGTAATATATTAATGCTAAATCCCTGATTTTGATGGTTACATTGTGATTATGTAAATATCCTTGTTTGTAGAAAAGACGCACTAAGTGTCCAGGAAAGATAGTACATCGTGCCTCAATTTAATTTCCAATGGTTCTGTCAATGAAAATAATCAATAAACAATCTATAATAAGAATGGATTTGAGCCAAATGAAGGCCTAGCCCAGAAGTCCATTTCCCAGATTACTCTAAGAAACTGCTCTGCAGAAGCACTGTTTCTAGTACAGTTTTATACCTTGTCAGAACAAAGAACATTAAACAAGTCAGCGTTACATTTCTTCAAAATTATTTTTTAAAAAAAGAAGAAGAAAAAGAACAGACCAGCATGTATGCAGTGAGTCAGTATGACCTTGGTACTGGGAAGGGAGGTTTATCATCAAAGGAGGACCAGCACTGGCATGCCAGGAAGAGAGGCATTTAATCTTTATTTTTAACATGGACATTCTTTACTTCTGGTCAATGTGCCCTTTTCTCTAACAAATAAAGCAGATGTACAATGTATATTTGATAGGCCACAGAAAGACTATTTTAGTTAGCATAAAATTCAAGTTAACTCATGTGTAAGCCAGAATGACTTTCCTGTATCTCAATATGTGAATATTTCTTTCATCAGTTCCAACAAAAAAGATTCTTTGTACTGTATGTGCAACTTTTCTATAAGTCTGAGATTTAAGAAAGTCAAAGTGTGTATATAAAAAAAGATGACTGTGGCTTTGTAGTATAGTCTGAAGTCAGGCAGATTGATTCCTCCAGTTCCATTCTTCTTTCTCAGGATTACTTTGGCTATTCGAGGTTTTTTGTATTTCCATACAAATTGTGAAATTATTTGTTCTAGTTCTGTGAAAAATACAGTTGGTAGTTTGATAGGGATTGCATTGAATCTATAGATTGCTTTGGGTAGTATAGCCATTTTGACAGTATTGATTCTTCCAATCCATGAACACGGTATGTTTCTCCATCTGTTTGTGTCCTCTTTGATTTCTTTCATCAGTTTTTTATAGTTTTCTATGTATAGGTCTTTTGTTTCTTTAGGCAGATATACTCCTAAGTATTTTATTCTTTTTGTTGCAATGGTGAATGGTATTGTTTCCTTAATTTCTCTTTTTGTTTTCTCATTGTTAGTGTATAGGAATGCAAGAGATTTCTGTGTGTTAATTTTATATCCTGCAACTTTACTATATTCGTTGATTAGCTCTAGTAATTTTCTGGTAGAGTCTTTAGGGTTTTCTATGTAGAGGATCATGTCATCTGCAAACAGAGAGAGTTTCACTTCTTCTTTTCCTATCTGGATTCCTTTTACTTCTTTTTCTGCCCTGATTGCTGTGGCCAACACTTCCAAAACTATGTTGAATAGTAGTGGTGAGAGTGGGCACCCT